TTTTTTTTTTTTTTTTTTACATCCCAGCATCTGCATAACAGTGTGTAAAAGTGGAGAGTAGGGAGGTTAGCAAAGCGAGTGCTCCCTAATGGCTAAACTTAGGTTTGAGTGGAGGCGATTGGACGAGACAGGGAGGAGGTCGGAGCAGAGGTCATCCAGTTACAGAGCAGAAACGGTGTAGACGCAGAGACAAATCCATCAGCGCCTGTGAAAACGCCACAGCTGTGAAACTGCCAAACAGGGGTCAGTGGGTGTTGATGTGGTCGGAGCAGGTGCTGCTGACTGTGGGAGCCCCATAAAGAGCGGTGGAGCCAGTCCCCCGTGACCCCACGCCGCGGCCCGACGTACAGCAGCACCAGGCAGCACCCTTCCCACCCGACCCCAACCCCAGCGGAGCCAGCATGCCTTCCACATGTGTCACCTCAAGCGCTGCCCCTCCTCCTCCTCCTCTTCCTCCAATAGCTCCCCAATCCTGAGTAAACCGTCAAGGCTATCCTTCAGCAAAGGAAAATATTATTCCCCTTCTCCGAAAACTCGGCAAGTGAAATGTGGTCTCATCTGACGGAGCGACACAACGTTTGCATGTGAATTACATAATTGTTATGGTTTGCGAGAGCTAAAGCCCCTTAATTCAAACCACATGACGAATCTGTCGCTCTTTATTTGAGCTCGAAATGGAGACAAATTTCCAGAGCCAGTCCATTTTTTAAGGAACAGAAGATTCATCTCTGCTGTCCCCTGACATTTCAGATAGACCAGAGTGAGAAATGGGGCTTGATTAATCACAGGCCTTTAACGCTTCGTGTGCTCTTTTTGTTTTCCAGAAATGCCTGGTATGAAGACAGCAGGCTGCTCCTGATCATAGTCACCGTCTGTGTCGTTCTACCTCTGTCGATATTGCCAAAAATTGGTAAGTCTATTAAATAGTGTCTTTATTTTCTGCTCCGACTTGTTTGAATCATTATTTCTTACCAGATATGTCTCTTGTTGTTTCAGGCTTCCTGGGATACACCAGCAGCATAGCTTTCTTCTTCATGCTCTACTTTACAGTTGTGGTAAGTTTTAATATCCCCTTTCAAAATGATATTTTTCCTTACACCAACCCTCTCATATTTATCTATTCTGTTGTCTCCAGGTTATTGTCAAGAAATGGTCCATCCCCTGCCCTCTGCCTCACAATGTGACCACACTTTCAGGAGCCTTCCAGGTAACAGCAAACCCCATTTCCTTCCCTGCTTATCTACACAAACACACCCACATGAGATACCCCAGGTCTGAGGTAGGTAGTCTGGAGCAGACGGTCACGGCCACAGGATTAGGAGGAAAAACTCAGAGGATTGAGTTGACTGATTGGGTCCGCTCTGGCTGATGAGGACCAGAGGAGCTTGTGGAGCTCTGTGCACGGTGACTGATGCCAGTCCTGAGGGGAAGGAAGTGCAGGTGACCTTGCCTGAGCCTGGAAGTGAACTCTGACCTATAGAAATTATACAGATTGTGCTATAACTTCAGACCTGGCATTGGTTCATTGTTTTCCTTCTAGCTCCAAACCCAGGCAACGGAATTCATCTGCATGTTTCTTTCCATTCGCAGCAGCATGGCAGAAGTCAGAAATAACACACTCCCTCTTCTCTCCTTGTTTTCTCCAGGTGTCAAATACCACAGACTCAGAGTGCACGCCCAAACTCTTTGTCATCTCCAGCGAGGTGCGTATATACAACCGGTCTTTTCTCTTTGCTGCACATGCACAAACTGTGAGGTGGCAGTGACGAGCTGCAGAAAGTAGGTTCGCTTTAACTCTGGTGACAAGTCCCACTCCCTACCTATGAAGGATGGGCTGCACATGTAGGGAACTCAAGCTCGCGATGCAGCTGCCTCTGACATGTATGTTACACATAAAGGTCAAACGTACATGTGGCACGCAGAATTACACACAAAGCACATGTTGGTTCCAGTTGTTAAGATGCAGCTTGATGCTGTTTTGAAACAAGATCCTTAAAACCTGCACTAGCGTGGTATTTAGAGATGCTTATTTACGTTCGAGTGAATAAATCTTGCTCAGAAATGTGACCCAGATGGTGATCGCTACAACGCAAGCTATACCTTGACCCTCCTGCCCCCTCTCACTCCTGTTCTAACAGTGTAAGCTGATAATTTGTTAACGATGGCTTGTGTGTTGCAGAGCGCCTACGCCATCCCCACCATGGCCTTCTCCTTCCTGTGCCACACGGCCATCCTGCCAATCTACTGCGAACTGGACCGGTCAGCACTGCAGCCTCTCAGATTTACCTTTACATCCACTTTTCAGTTTAAATCTCTGCTCTCATTATTCCACATCTGTTGTAATGATGTGTAATATCTCCGTGTGTCTTTCAGACCTACTAAAGCCAGAATGCAGAATGTTACAAATGTCAGCATCAGCCTCAGCTTCCTGGTTTACCTCATCTCTGCACTGTTTGGCTACCTCACCTTCTATGGTAAGCCTGCAGGGACAAACATCACTGAGTAAAACATTTGACTGCAGCTACCAAAATATTCTGTCACATCTGTTCACATCATGGCCTCACTCGTTCCCTGTCATCCTCTCAAAGCTCAGGTGAACTCTGAGCTGCTGCTCGGCTACGACATGTACTTGCCGCACGACATCATGGTGATGATGGTTCGAATGGCCATCCTCCTCTCTGTGTTGCTGACTGTACCACTCATTCATTTCCCCGTGAGTAGACCGACGTCATGATACAAGCAAACACTACACAAGAGTATCCCAATTTTTCTTTTACCCTTTTAAGATTCCTTCTTCAAATCTATGAAATTATTAAAAATCAAGAAATGGTTGTCAGTGTTTT